AAAGATTCGGGTTAGAATTGGTCTTCAGGAACCCAGCTTGTCGTAAGAGGCGTCTAACGGGATCGGGTGGTCAGGCTCGCTGACCTGGTCCACACATGTAATCGTATCCCAATTGCGTAGATCGTTGCCCATGCTGTTGATCATTGGATTGTCAGATCCAGACTCGATTATTTACATTATATATATAACTGGACTACTGCTCATTGCGGCGTTAAACAATAACCGAACTTTCAATAAAACACGCCCTGATACTCTTCACAACGAATCAGCTTCACCAAATTAAACACTCACTGCTACATGAATTATATTTCACAACACATCTGCCCGACTACTGAGGAAACAGTCTCAAGATTCGTATGTAGTTGTGGTGAAAGCAGTACCGACGTGGCATATTCCTTGAGACTAGGTCCATATTGTCTAAAGAAACCTTGTAAGAATGTTGACGATGAGTTTAATTTGTTTCCAGTTTATGAACAAAACCATACTTTGATACCATCATCTACAAAAGGCGGGGAGTTAGAGATGTCGACTTCTGTAATATGAGACTCGGCGTTTTAGAGTATAGGTTTACTTATACATCAGGTGATGGAGACGTAAGACTATATTCAGTAACGTGCAGGGACGAAGGAGTAAAATTTCAATTCACGTAAACCACTTTTAACTGCCATTCAAAAACATCATTATGTATAAAATCTTTGAAGGGCATTTGGAAGCAGAATACATAAGAAAAGCAAGACTTATGGATGTCAACTTCTTTATTGTGAATAACACCACGTTTCGGAGTGTATGCTTGCTCCTTCATCAGATCATACTCCCTACCATTCATCTGATGAAGGAGCAAGCATTTACTCCGAAATTTGTGTTATTCACAATAAAGAAGTTGACATCCATAAATCTTGCTTCTCTTATCACTATGTATGTTAGGTCATGTCTCACTGTACGGAACGGAGTGTTTAATTCTGCATCACAGACATCAGGGTTCGGCTCCTGCCATGTGACGTAAGGGAGGTAACTCGACCCGTGTCTGTCAGTCACTTCACTGCATCCTCAACGACTACCAATGCACAGAATGTGATTTCAGTGAGAGTTGACTCGCGTGTAAAGCAACACAGCATAGTAAACCCTTCAATATCTTCCGCTTAATTTGTGTTAAGACCAATCCATTCATAAACACTGATACTGTAGACAGATATTATCTTCGTTTATCTCCGAAATGTATCCCGATAAGATTAAGTTACTTCCTGGTCGGCTGTACTCAAACACAGTATAACCAGCCGGTGCACAGACTGGTAAACTGTCTATAGTCGGTCTCGCAGTCCCTGAACCACATTATTTTCCCTCCTTAGCCATTACTGTGCTAGATCCCTAAATGAAGCAAGTCTAGATTTACCCAGGTTATCTCCAAAACTCACTAGGGGTCATTTTCAATTTAAATGGGTTTATTTGTTACTCTCAAACTTATATATATTCTGAGACTAAGCGTGAGCCTACACTGTCCACTGCACGCGCTCTTGACAAGGGCAAACAACTCTGAGTGCACGTTGTTCGTCAGGTCTCGAGTATGTCGAAGTTCGGGACAACTGTCAGACTATAGAAGTAATATGAGTTTTAAACCTGAAACATTTTGGCAGCTACTTTGGAGGAAATAAATGGATGTCTTATGTAATGACGATATCAGCTTCGACCGCTTCAAGTGTTAATTTTAAGTGGAGGAAATAAATGGATGTCTTATGTAATGACGATATCAGCTTCGACCGCTTCAAGTGTTAATTTTAACAAATATGATTTCACAGAAACAAACAAATTGATAAGGATCCCAAAGGATATGTCTGTTTCACATCCTGTCCAAAAACTAGACATGATACATACAGGACGTTTGTACCACCAGTGAGATATGGTACTGAGACTATTGGGCAGACTACTGACTCAAATACTATTATAATAATAATAATAATAATAATGTTAAAATTTGTATAGCGCCTGAATCCAAGGTTTGCTCTAAGGCGCTTGGTCGAATGCTCTGTGGAAAAGAACTGTTTTTAGTTCTTTTTTGAATGGAATGATGTCTGACAAGTTTTTCAAGTTTTCAGGTAGTTGGTTCCATAACAGAGGACCTGTTTGGCGAAAGCTCTATCGCCATAACTCGCTCTGCGGGTAGAGGCACTACTGAGGTTACTCTCATATCTTCCTACGTAACCTCTGTTCTAATACGGCCATATTTCCCGGTTCTCGTAAAATGCCCTAGCGGCAAAAGATCGCAACACGAATTATCTCCCTTCTTTCTATCCAATCAGAACACGTGTTACATCGACTTAGATTCAACTTGACTAACACAGGCAAATGTGAGGCCACAAATATCCCCCATCTGCCGGGGACTTGTGTTGATGTTACACACAAGACGTTTAAATGGCTAGCTTGTCCGTTGTCAACGACGGCGATGGAGACGCCACTGATCCGCCATAACATGACTGAGTTCTGTCTAGAAGAAACGTTTGCGCATCGCGCAGGGGAAGAGGTTTAGCTTTCTCGAAGTATACGGAAACTACCGAGGCTTTGCGAATGATCACTTTTGAAACAACGTCACTGATTGCACAACTAAATTTGATTGCCTCCAATCACGAGTCTTGAACGCTCACACCATGAAAGGGCCGTATTAGAACAGAGGTTACGTAGGAAGATATGACAGGAGTAACCTCTGTGGGAAGAGAATGGGGTAGAGGGCACTACTGCTTGTTTTAAAGAGGCTGATCTCAGGGTTCGCGATGGCTGATACCATGACACTAGTTCAGTCAGGTATTCTGGAGCTTGGTTGTGAAGGGCCTTGTGCACAAACACCAACACCTTGAAGACAATTCTTTGTCTGACTGGCAGCCAATGCAGTGTACGTAATGTTGGCGTGATGTGTTCATATTTGCCTGCACCAGTGATGAGTCTTGCTGCTGCATGTTGTACTCTGGTGAGTTGAGAGTTTGCTGCGATATGCCAAACATCAGGGAGTATCAGTTCAGCTATAGCCTGTTATGTAATTTTATATTTCTGGAGCGGAATCGTAAGGTCTAGTCAAGTCTTAAATTAATCCCAAACGAAATAGATAGTTGAACCCCCACATGAAAACACTAAAACTTAACTCACTCACTCGTAAGGAAATGTGGAAACACTGCATTTATCCTGTTTACAGCCAAGCGCCAGCGCATCATACCCAGGGACCCAGGCTGGGTTCCGTCTCTTCATGTGGAAGGAAATCTCAAGAAAGGCAAAGTTTACTACTTTGGTAGAAGCCCACCATGTATGGTGTTCGCAAGGATAATACCAAAGCCGAATACGGGAATCGAACCTTCGATCACAGGATCCTGACTCATCAAAGGGACGCTACCCCATGCCTCGTTGATACGCGAGGTCAACCTATTTCCAGATCCTGACTTTGCTCTTCTCTCATGAGAAGATAAACAAGATCTACTTCTGTAAAACCAGGAACCCACTATGCAAGTGTCAGTACAATCACCCACAGATATGGAACGGTGGGGGAGGATAGTGATTAAAGCGTTTGCTAGTCGTCCCGGAGACCCGGGTACGAATCTACACATGGGTGTAATGTGTGAAGCCAATTTCTAGTGTCCCCTGCTGTGATATTGATAGAATATTGCTAAACACGACGTAAAACCAATCTCACCCCACAGATCACCGACAGATATTACCTTGTCCATATGTACATGTATTATTGTATGAGCCAGTTAAACGGAGTTTAAAACAGTATATGTTTTACCAGGGTCTGTCAGCTTGATGAGGGAGAAACGACTAAAACTATGTGGGTCGTATTTGTTGAGGACTGGAATGAAATACACAACCACGGATTTCGTGCTGAAACACCTTGGCCATTATACTTTCCGACAAGCCCAGTGAGAAGCAATGAATTCGAATAATAATAGTTTTCTGACAGGCCAGAAGGGAGTGAGTGAGTGAGTTTAGTTTTACACCACTTTTAGCAATATTCCAGCATTATCACAGCAGTGGACACCAGAAATGAGCTTCACACATTGTTCCCATGTGAGGAATCAAACCTGGGTCTTCGGTGTGACAAGCGAACGCATTAACCACTCGGCTACCCCACCGCCCCACTAGAAGGGAAGCATAGGATTCGAACAGGAATTGCACCTTAGACGACCGGGCCCATTTGTCCTTGTCTTGCATAAAAACAAATCACAAACACATCACTATAAAAGAGCAGACATATCTCTCGTCCTGTTTATTTAGTTTCTTGTGAGTGATTTCAAGTCTACAAGTATTTCACTTGTAACCCATGCACTCAACATCTATATCAAAGTAAAGCCTAATCACATACAGCAACACAGTGAAGGAAATATCCTGAAAGCATCATATATTCAACATGCAGCCAATTAAATGGTCTACTACAGTGAACGTGTAATAAGCTATGAACATACAATAATGACAATAGGATGACATGGTACTGTCACATATCTGGCAAAGTTTAGGACAACCTCAAAATAACATGCTCTTTATGAAAGCAGAAGAATCACGTTGTACACATGTACAAACAAATCAACAACCCAACCTCCACAGACACCCGAGATTATACATTTACCTGTACCATCTATCATACTAGGAACTCGAATATTTGAGAAAGTGAAATATGTTTGAACAAACATGCAGATTAATGATACCCTATTGATTAGAACTAGCATGTATACATACAGGTCAAGCAATATGTACTGTCAATAATACCATGAGTCACACACAGTCACGTCCATCCTGAACTAACAAAACATCTTATTTCTGTGAACTTCTTGCTTCGATAATCATTTCCAAACATAATTTCTTGGTAAAATGTGGATCTTGAGGCATAACTGTTCCTTAATTATACACCCATGTCAGTAAAAACAAATAATGACACAATAAACTCTCATGTTTCACAGAACGTTTCTTCAATTCTGCGGTAGAACTTCAACACAGACAACCATATTGAACACACTGAAAAGGTCCCTTTAAACAGTGGTACTCTCTTCACCGCCTTCAGCTGACACAGCACTTTCTAGTACAGCTATCGTATCTTGGATCTTGGCTTTCTTCAAGACAGTCTGGAACTGACCAATCGAGGCACACTCATTTTGATGTTTCATGAGTACAGCCACTGCATCTTGGATCTTGGCTTTCTTCAAGACAGTCTGGAACTGACTAATCGAGGCCCACTCATTGTGACGTTTCATGTTACGAATGGGGATGACCATTGGTACTACATAAGGGTATAGCTTAGAATCTTCATCGTTCAATATCTCAACGTCTGAACTTTCATTTACAGCTTTTTCAGCTTTTTTCAGACTCTCGGTTACAGACTTCAGTATATTCTTGTGTTTGGTTTTATCAACATCACGGTATCTGCTCTCATATTCCTTGTTGAGATTGTTGAGACACATTTGCTCTTGCTTGTTTACAAGTTCGTGAATTTTCTTGAACTCCTTTTTGGCCTTACCTTTTGAGGTTTCAAATTCGATCATAAGCATCCGACTTTGATGTTGAGAGAGGTTGTAGTTTTGGTCAGCTATCGTCTTTGCTGTACGCATCTTCGTGAGCCGCTGATTAATGTGAGCCCTCTCTCTCTCGGCTTCTGGTCTTAGGGGGACAACTCCGTCACACCTGCGGTGATCCACACCTGCACAAACGTGACAGATCGTCTTCCTGCAGTCACGGCAAAACAATACAACCGGGTTACCCGAGTGCTTCGTGCAGACGTCACCGTGTTTCTTCTCTTTCTTTATGTTGTCAACCAAAGATCCCAGAAGAAAATCCGTTTTGAAACTGTCAGCCCATTCTCTCAGGGCGAGGGTACTTCCCCCGACCGTCGGAGGTTTGCTGGTTTGCCGACATGTCGGGCAACTGACACCATCGTTTGATCCTTTAGACAGAATATACTTGTGCAAGCAATCCCGGCAGTACCGATGGAGGCAGGCTAGGAGCTTTGGTGTTCTGAAGTAGTCCTGACATATAGAGCAAGTTATGTCATCCTGGAGTTTCGCTAGGAGGTCCGCCATGTTTGTTTGCAACTGCGGAAATTCCCAGTTATAGTCTATTCCATACTATGAGCTGATCTACAGTCTGTTCGGGATTATATAGGTGTACTGGCGCCAACATTTGCAGGTTTCTGTAATTTGCCTCTTTTTTTTTTTTGCCAGTCTAAAGGATCGACTACATGTTGTGCTTGTCTTATGCCACTGAAGACGCTAGTGGACACTGCCCTTTTGTATTTTTTACCCATATTTAATCTTATTATGAAGCCAAGAAGGACCTGATCCGGATTAGTAAACTAGTTTGTTGGACGAAAGAATTGATTTTTCTTGAGGAGGGTATAATACTTTATTTCCAATGGGAACTTATTTCTACATCGTATATAAACATAATACAGAAAAACACGTAAAAATACAATACACAACATAATATTATATGAACGAACTTAAGTATTTACGGTTTTTGTACAGCAGTACGAATTACAGGCAAACTGTAGCGCAAATAGGGTTGTGCAACAGAGAGAAAAATCATCAGCCTTTCTATATGCGTTCTTTCCTCACTTCAGTTCGAAACATATTGTTAATGTCAAAATATAATACTGCTCATTGCGGCATTAAACAATAAACAAACTTTCAATAAAACACACCCTGATACTCTTCACAACTAATCAGCTTCACCAAATTAAACACTCACTGCTACATGTTGAATTATATTTCACAACACATCTGCCCGACTACTGAAGAAACTGTCTCAACATTCGTATGTAGTTGTGGTGAAAGCAGTACCGATGTGGCATATTCCTTGAGACTAAGTCCATATTGTCTAAAGAAACCTTGTTAGAATGTTGCTGATGAGTTTAATTTGTTTCCAGTTTATGAACAAAGCCATACTTTGATACCATCATCTACAAAAGGCGGGGAGTTAGAGATGTCGACTTCTGTACTATGACACACGGCATTTTAGAGTATAGGTATACTTATACATCAGGCGATGAAAAAGTAAGACTATATTCAGTAACGTGCAGTGACGAAGGAGTAAAATTTCAATTCACGTAAACCACTTTTAACTGCCATTAAAAAAACATCATTATGTATAAAATCTTTGAAGGGCATTTGGAAGCAGAATACATAAGAAAAGCAAGACTTATGGATGTCAACTTCTTTCTTGTGAATGACACCACGTTTCGGGGTGTATGCTTGCTCTTTCATCAGGTCATACTCCCTACCATTCATCTGATGAAGAAGCAAGCATTTACTCCGAAACGTTGTGTTATTCACAATAAAGAAGTTGACATCCATAAATCTTGCTTCTCTTATCACTATGTATGTTAGGTAATGTCTCACTGTATGGAACGGAGTGTTTAATTCTGCATCACTGACATGAGGGTTCGGCTCCTGCCACGTGACGTAAGGGAGGTAACTCGACCCGTGTCTGTCAGTCACTTCACGGCATCCTCAACGTCTACCAATCCACAGAATGTGATTTCAGTGAGAGTTGACTCGCGTGTAAAGCAACACAGCATAGCAAACCCTTCAATATCTTCCGCTTAATTTGTGTTAAGACCAATCCATTCATAAACACTGATACTGTAGACAGATATTATCTTCGTTTATCTCCGAAATGTATCCCGATAAGATTAAGTTACTTCCTGGTCGGCTGTACTTAAACACAGTATAACCAGCCGGTGCACAGACTGGTAAACTGTCTATAGTCGGTTTCACAGTCCCTGAACCACATTATTTTCCCTCCTTAGCCCTTACTGTGCTAAGTCCCTAAATGAAGCAAGTCTAGATTTACCCAGGTTATCTCCCAAACTCACTAGGGGTCCTTTTCAATTTAAATGGGTTTATTTGTTACTATCAAACTTATTTATATTCTGAGACTAAGCGTGAGCCTACACTGTCCACTGCACGCGCTCTTGACAAGGGCAAACAACTCTGAGTGCACGTTGTTCGTCAGGTCTCGAGTATCTCGAAGTTCGGGACAACTGTCAGACTATAGAAGTAATACAAATGAGTTTTAAACCTGAAACAGTTCGGCAGCTACTTTGGAGTAAATACATGGATGTCTTATGTAATGACGGTATCAGCTTCGACCGCTTCAAGTGTTAATTTTAACAAATATGATTTCACAGAAACAAACAAATTGATAAGGATCCCCAAGGATATGTCTGTTTCACATCCTGTCCAAAAACTGATACATACAGGACGTTTGTATCACCAGTGAGATATGGTACTGAGACTATTGGGCAGACTACTGACTCAAATACTATTATTATAATAATAATAATAATAATGTTAAAATTTGTATAGCGCCTGAATCCAAGGTTTGCTCTAAGGCGCTTGGTCGAATGCTCTGTGGAAAAGAACTGTTTTTTAGTTCTTTTTTAAAATGGAATTATGTCTGACAAGTTTTTCAAGTTTTCAGGTAGTTGGTTCCATAACAGAGGACCTGCTTTGGCGAAAGCTCTATCGCCATAACTCGCTCTGCGGGTAGAGGGCACTACTGCTTGTTTTTAAGAGGCTGATACCATGACACTAGTTCAGTCAGGTATTCTGGAGCTTGGTTGTGAAGGGCCTTGTGCACAAACACCAACACCTTGAAGACAATTCTTTGTCTGATTGGCAGCCAATGCAGTGCACGTAATGTTGGCGTTATGTGTTCATATTTGCCTGCACCAGTGATGAGTCTTGCTGCTGCATTTTGTACTCTGGTGAGTTTGTTGAGAGTTTGCTGCGATATGCCAAACATCAGGGAGTATCAGTTCAGCTATAGCCTGTTATGTAATTATATATTTCTGGAGCTGAATCGTAAGGTCTAGTCAAGTCTTAAATTAATCCCAAACGAAATAGATCGTTGAACCCCTACCTGAAAACACTGCTACATTGCAGTAAAAAAAATAAAAATCTCACCCGAAAAACAACACTTATCAATAGTAGTTGATGTGTTCCAAATCACAATCAAATCACAGATGAAAATAGCACAACAAAATATTCATAACCGGTTAACCAAACCCTGAGCCAACAACTGCATATGGATGTGATGTCGGTCACAGCGAGCAAGTCAGTTGGCTTGGACACTGTTTAGAGCAGTATAGTGTTATCTGTGATCGATGCTCAAGTTGTTGATCACTGGATTGTCTGGTCCAGACTTGATTATTTACAGACCGTCGCCATTTAGCTGTAATATTGCTGTGTGAGGCGTAAAACTTAACTCACTCACTCACTCGTAAGGAACTGTGGACACACTGCATTTATCCCGTTTACAGCCAAGCGCCAGCGCATCATACCAGGGACCCAGGTTGGGTTCCGTCTCTTCATGTGGAAGGAAATCTCAAGAAAGGCAACGTTTACTACTTTGGTAGAAGCCCACCATGTATGGTGTTCGCAAGGATAATACCAAGGCTGAATACGGGAATCGAACCTTCGATCACAGGATCCTGACTCATCAAAGGGACGCTACCCCATGCCTCGTTGATACGCGACGTCAACCTATTTCCAGATCCTGACTTTGCTCTTCTCTCATGAGAAGATAAACAAGATCTACTTCTGTAAAACCAGGAACCCACTATGAAAGTGTCAGTACAATCACCCACAGCTATGGAACGGTGGGGTAGGATAGTGATTAAAGCGTTTGCTAGTCGTCCCGGAGACCCGGGTACGAATCTACACATGGTTGTAATGTGTGAAGCCAATTTCTAGTGTCCCCTGCTGTGATATTGCTAGAATATTGCTAAACATGACGTAAAACCAATCTCACCCCACAAATCACCGACAGATATTACCTTGTCCATATGTACCTGTGTTATGGTATGAGCCAGTTCGGAGTTCAAAACAGTATATGTTTTACCAGGGTCTGTCAGCTTGATGAGGGAGAAACGACTAAAACTATGTGGGTCGTATTTGTTGAGGACTGGAATGAAATACACAACCACGGATTTCGTGCTGAAACACCTTGGCCATTATAGTTTCCGACAAGCCCAGTGAGAAGCAATGAATTCGAATAATAATAGTTTTCTGACACGCCAGAAGGGAGTGAGTGAGTGAGTTTAGTTTTACACCACTTTTAGCAATATTCCAGCATTATCACAGCAGTGGACACCAGAAATGAGCTTCACACATTGTTCCCATGTGAGGAATCAAACCCGGGTCTTCGGTGTGACAAGCGAACGCTTTAACCATTAGGCTACCCCACCGCCCCACCAGAAGAGAAGCAGAGGATTCGAACAGGAATTGCACCTTAGACGACCGGGCCCATTTGTCCTTGTCTTGCAAAAACACAAATCACAAACACATCACTATAAAAGAGCAGACATATCTCTCGTCCTGTTTATTTAGTTTCTTGTGAGTGATTTCAAGTCTACAAGTATTTCACACTTGTAATCCATGCACTCAACATCTATATCAAAGTAAAGCCTAATCAAATACAGCAACACTGTGAAGGAAATATCCTGAAAGCATTATATATTCAACATGCAGCCAATTAAATGGTCTACTACAGTGAACGTGTAATAAGCTATGAACATACAATAATGACAATAGGATGACATGGTACTGTCACATATATGGCAAAGTTTAGGACAACCTCAAAATAACATGCTCTTTATGAAAGCAGAAGAATCACGTTGTACACATGTACAAACAAATCAACAACCCAACCTCCAGAGACACCCGAGATTATACATTTACCTCTACCATCTATCATACTAGGAACTCGAATATTTGAGAAAGTGAAATATGTTTGAACAACCATGCAGATTAATGATACCCTATTGATTAGAACTAGCATGTATACATACAGGTCAAGCAATATGTACTGTCAATAGTAACATGAGTCACACACAGTCACGTCCATCCTGAACTAACAAAACATCTTCTTTCTGTGAACTTCTTGCTTCGATAATCATTTCCAAACATAATTTCTTGGTAAAATGTGGATCTTGAGGCATAACTGTTCCTTAATTATACACCCATGTCAGTAAAAACAAATAATGACACAATAAACTCTCATGTTTCACAGAACGTTTCTTCAATTCTGCGGTAGAACTTCAACACAGACAACCATATTGAACACACTGAAAAGGTCCCTTTAAACAGTGGTACTCTCTTCACCGCCTTCAGCTGACACAGCACTTTCTAGTACAGCTATTGTATCTTGGATCTTGGCTTTCTTCAAGACAGTCTGGAACTGACTAATCGAGGCACACTCATTGTGACGTTTCATGTTACGAATGGGGATGACCACCGGTAAATAAGGGAATCGCTTAGAGTCTTCATCGTTCAATATCTCAACGTCTGAACTTTCATTTACAGCTTTTTCAGCTTTTTTCAGACTCTCGGTTACAGAGTTCAGTATATTCTTGTGTTTGGTGTTAGCAACATCACGGTATCTGCTCTCATATTCCTTGTTGAGATTGTTGAGACACATTTTCTCTTGCTTGTTTACAAGATCGTGAATTTTCTTGAACTCCTTTTTGGCCTTAGCTTTAGTGGTTTCAAATTCGATCATAAGCATCAGACTTTGATGTTGAGAGTGGTTGTAGTTCTGGTCAGCTATCGTCTTTGCTGTACGCATCTTCGTGAGCCGCTGATTAATGTGAGCCCTCTCTCTCTCGGCTTCTGGTCTAAGGGGGACAACTCCGTCACACCTGCGGTGATCCACACCTGCACAAACATGACATATCGTCTTCCTGCAGTCACGGCAAAACAATACAACCGGGTTACCCGAGTGCTTCGTGCAGACGTCACCGTGTTTCTTCTCTTTCTTTATGTTGTCAACCAAAGATCCCAGAAGAAAATCCGTTTTGAAACTGTCAGCCCATTCTCCCAGGGCGAGGGTACTTACCCCGACCGTCAGAGGTTTGCTGGTTTGCCGACATGTCGGGCAACTGACACCATCGTTTGATCCTTTAGACAAAATATACTTGTGCAAGCAATCCCGGCAGTACCGATGGAGGCAGCCTAGAAGTTTTGGTGTTCTGAAGTAGTCCTGACATATAGAGCAAGTTATATCATCCTGGAGTTTCGCTAGGAGGTCCGCCATGTTTGTTTGCAACTGCGGAAATTCCCAGTTACAGTCTATTTCAAACTATGAGCCGATCTACAGTCTGTTCGGGATTATAAAGTGTACTGGCACTAACATTTGGAGGTTTCTGTAATTTGCCACGGTTGTTTTTTTGCCAGTCTAAAGGATCGACTACATTTTATGCTTGTCTTATGTCACTGAAGACGCTAGTGGACACTGCCCTTTTGTGTTTTTTACCCATATTTAATCTTATTATGAGGCCAAGGAGGATCTGATCCGGATTAGTAAACTAGTTTGTTGGACGAAAGAATTGATTTCTCTTGAGGAGGGTAAGATAATACTTTATTTCCAATGGGAACTTATTTCTACATCGTATATAAACAAAATACAGAAAAACACGTACAAATACAATACACAACACAATATTATATGAACGAACTTAAGTATTTACGGTTTTTGTACAGCAGTACGAATTACAGGCAAACTGTAGCGCAAATAGGGTTGGGCAACAGAGAGAAAAATCATCAGTCTTCCTATATGCGAACAAAGGTTGGCAACGTTCTTTCCTCACTTCAGTTCGAAACATATTGTTAATGTCAAAATATTATATCGCCACCATTAAAGGTGGACACCCATTTTCTCACAGGGTTGTGCTCTCAGATATCCAACCTCGAAGACTTGCATTATTTTCACCTTTCCTCAAACTGTAAACGTGGAACAAGAAAAAACACCATATACACGCGGCTTGACATCAGTCAACACACAGATGAAACAGATAGAAAGAGTGAGTGAGTGAGTTGGGTTTTACGCTGCTTTTAGCAATATTCCAGCAATATCACTTCAGGGACCCCATATAGTCTGACATACAGACTCTGAAATATACATATCCAAGAAAGCCAATGCAAGTTTAGATTATGTGGCAAGATTTCCACAGTTTAGATTCTGTGGCAAGATTTCCACAGTTTCAGATAAAGAAAGCCTCTGGACTCATTTTTATTATTTTTTATTGTTATAATTTAGGAACTGTTTTTTTCTGCAAAATATGTTCATTTCAGAGACTAGATGTTGGTCAAAGGACAACAGAAATGGGCTTCACACATGATATACCCATATGGGTCTTCGATGTGACAAGCTACCTCACTGCCCGGCATTGAACAATAACAGCATGCATCAAGCGCCTCGTTTTTTTGTGTTTTTAAAACATACCCCCCAAAATACACACTCGATATCTCCGTGAATATCTCCTTGAACATTATCCTCGAAACAAGCAATCGTAGCGCCATAAGCAGATTATTTCATGTTGGTAAGAAAGACAACTCAGGACACATCTGGATACATCTGGATATACAGTCATACGGTCTTTGGTCCACTAAACGTAGATGTACTGGATAAACGGGGTTCCCGAGACGTGGAGGTCAGTCAAGAGTTAAGGCGAGGATGAGACTGACTGACTGACTGACGTCGAGGTCAGTCAAGAGTTAAGGGGAGGATGGGTAGCATGGTGATGGGGAGCGGCATGGCTACGATGGGGAGCTGTTTGGTGACCATGGGTATGTTCTTTTTTTAGAGATCGACGGTGAAGCTGTCGGGGGAACGGATTCTTGTTGCGTGAGAAGAAGTTCAATGTCTGACAATTTAGTCTGTTTCATCAAAGATTTTACCTTCTTGTCGAAACTTATGTCGCTCGTTTTGTCCATCTTGAACGCAATTGGACGACAGCGTCTTTGGCAGTTTTGATTAAAAAGTTGAATATCTGATTTGGGTAGAGAATTCTCGATATACTTTTCAGCCTCAGTCGTCGCCCTGATCTCGTCACGGAGGCTCTCAACAAGCAACTGGTATCCTTTCTTAGTTTTTCCGAACTCCTTTTCAATTTCGTTGATGAGCTGTTCCTCGCGTCGACTTAGTATTTGACGAACCTTGCCAAACCTCTCACTGGCTGCCTCAATTTCTTCGTGGCGTCTTTTTTTCAGCATCTCGGTTTCATGCTTCAAGCCCTCACTTTGCTTCTCCAGCGATCCTGTTTTCGTTTTCAGTTTCACCAAGAGACCCGTCACATGCTTTCTCTCTTCAGCGGCAACCGACTGAAGGGAGACAACTCCTTCACACCCGCGGTGGTCCACCCCTGAGCAAACATGACATAGCTTCACCTCACATGACTTGCAGTACAAGACGACTGGGTTGCCGGTGTGTGTATCACAGAGAAATATATCTTCTCTCGTCTTTTTCAGAGCTTGGACAACATTCCTCACTCCAACATCTGTGACAAAGCTGTCAACATTGATAGCACCAGGATTAGATACTCGACTTTTCCGTCGACATACGGGGCAAGACACACAGCTCGATCCAGGGTCGTCCGAAATCGGATGACGTTCTCTAAGCAATCCCGACAAAATCTGTGAAGGCAGTGGAGTGCCTTTGGATCATTTAACCACTCCTACAGATTGGGCACTTTAAGTCGTCGGCGAGAGGGTCTTCAAACGCCGCCATGTTTAATCGATAATGAAAGTAGGGAAATACCCAAACAAACTCGACCTTCGACCTTCACTGTGGTGAGAATCGCAACTGAAGCATAGAGAATACATACCACAAAGAAGCGTTACTGTTTATAGCAGAGTTTCCCAGTGTCAACTAGGCTATCAATAGACCATCGTTCAATCATTATTCTTTTCGATTATCTTCCCAAGACTTGGAAACAGCGAATGAATTTTTGCAAACGAACTCAGGACTACTTGTTTGGCTTCATGTTGCCTTGGGTAAATGTATTCCTACGCATAATGTACCCGTTCGTAAGGTTTCAACAAGGCACATTTATACATGCGTATTTTCAAAATGTGAAGTATCAACCTCGCCTCTGAGGACAACATTAATAGCCAGCCATCTTGAGGCATGCCCAGTGGAACTCTTTGGTTTTGGAAACTTCGTATTTCGAAGCTATCGTGCGGGCGCGCTTGCGTGTGTGTGTGGTCGTGGGCAGTCAATACAAAAAGGTTGCATGAACTCAATATTTGAAACATTAAAAAGAATATCTACGCACATGTTGAACTGGGTCGCTGGTGGTTAAAGCGTTCGCTTGTCACGCCGAAGACCCGGGTTCGATTCTCCACATGGTTACAGTGTGTGAAGCCTAGTTCTGGACCGTGGTGATGCTGGAATATTGCTAAAAGCGGCGTAAAACCCAACTCTCTCACTCAAACATTGAACTGAATTATATTATAAACAAAAACAGCTAAGGCATTTTCAAAAATTGGTTTTCAATATAAAACGTAAATTCATAAAATCATATTTCAAAAGTCCTTCCATAATCTGAAGAGATGTCTGGTAGCACCAGCTCACTGTATGATTCCGATCACTTCAATGTCATGTCCGACTCTTGTGCAGATTCAGGATTACCAGGGGCGGTGGGGTAGCTTAGTGGTTAAAGCGTTCGCTCGTCACGCCGGGTTCCATTCCCCACATGGGTACAATGTGTGAGGCCCATTTCTGGTGTCCCCTCTGTGATATTGCTGGAATATTGCTAAACGCAGCGTAAAACTAAACTCACTCATGATCCCCATTGGTGGGGAGACACATGTGCTGTTTTATCAGCTTCAATCAAGGACGAAGGACGTTCACGTATATTACTGATGGAATGCCGCTTCACAAAAATGCTACACTGCCGAAAAGTACACAGCCATCTTTGGTGGTAGCTAAGAAGCACATGTTGGTATATACGGGTATCATAGGTGGGAGCAGAACCTTATTCTGTGCTGTGTTTCAGCATAGTGACCTACCGATAACGTTTGTTATGCTTTGGTCGTATTTATATAAATGTAAATACATGTACATTTAAAAACGGCGTATTTAGTTTGAGCAGTAGTCTGTCTCACAGTCCCTGAACCACATTATTTCCCCTACTGCCTTGCCCTTCCTGAAATGATAATGTCCCAAATGAAGCAAGTCTAGATTTCCCCAAGTTCAAGAATTTCCCATCTCTCTAGGGCTTCTTTTCAATGTATATGGGTTTATTTGCTACTATGAAAGTTACATACATTCAGAGACTAAGCGTTAGTCTATTAGAACAGTGATAGGAACACATCTTTGCCGATGACGAACTGGTCTGAAACGTTTCCAGATTGGCAGGACGTCTTGTACAAATGTAGGAAAACTCATTAAAAGCACCGTGCTCAAATCTCGTCATTGTAGTTGTTTAGTGGCTCCCTGAATGTTTTTGGAAAAATCACCTTGTTTGCCTTGTGTGATCTTTTCCCTGTTCTAGATGTGGATGGAACTGCTCCACCATGTTTTGGATGGAGACTCAGCTCTGCATCCCGGAGTCTTGTGCATCACGAGTCTGTAAGAGTCGTTGTCCATCACGTATGTGACTGTCTTGCTGTAAGCGACGTTGTCCATCACGTATGTGACTGTCTTGCTGTGTCGTTGTCCTTCACGTATGTGACTGTCTTGCTGTAAGTGTCCTTGTCCATCACATATGTGACTGTCTTGTTGGAAGCGTCGTTGTCCATCACGTATGTGACTGTCTTGCTGTCGTTGTCCATCACGTATGTGACTGTCTTGCTGTGTCCGTTGTCCCTTCACGTATGTGACTGTCTTGCTGTAAGTGTCCTTGTCCATCACATATGTGACTGTCTTGTTGGAAGCCATCACGTATGTGACTGTCTTGTTGTAAGCGACGTTGTCCATCACGTATGTGACTGTCTTGCTGTGTCGTTGTCCTTCACGTATGTGACTGTCTTGTTGTAAGTGTCGTTGTCCATCACGTATGTGACTGTCTTGTTGTAAGCGTCGTTGTCCATCACGTATGTGACTGTCTTGTTGGAAGCATCGTTGTCCATCACGTATGTGACTGTCTTGTTGGAAGTGTCGACCATCACATTGTGACCTTGTTGGATCACGTCCATCACGTATGTGACTGTCTTGTTGTTGTCCATCACGTATGTCCTTGCTGTGTCCTTGTCCTTCACGTATGTGACTGTCTTGCTGTAAGTGTCCTTGTCCATCACATATGTGACTGTCTTGTTGGAAGCATCGTTGTCCATCACATATGTGACTGTCTTGTTGGAAGCATCGTTGTCCATCACGTATGTGACTGTCTTGTTGGAAGCGACGTTGTCCATCACGTATGTGACTGTCTTGCTGTGTCGTTGTCCTTCACGTATGTGACTGTCTTGCTGTAAGTGTCCTTGTCCATCACATATGTGACTGTCTTGTTGGAAGCATCGTTGTCCATCACATATGTGACTGTCTTGCTGTAAGCGACGTTGTCCATCACGTATGTGACTGTCTTGTTGGAAGCGTCGTTGTCCATCACGCATGTGACTGTCTTGTTGGAAGCATCGTTGTCCATCACGTATGTGACTGTCTTGTTGGAAGCGTCGTTGTCCTTCACGTATGTGACTGTCTTGTTGTAAGCGTCGTTGTCCATCACGCATGTGACTGTCTTTGCTGTGACCGTCGCTGTCCATCACGTATCTGTCTTGTTGTAAGTGACTGTCCTGCTGTAAGTGTCGTTGTCCATCACGTATGTGACTGTTTTGCTGTGACCGTCGTTGTCCATCACGTATGTGACTGTTTTGCTGTGACCGTCGTTGTCCATCACGTATGTGACTGTCTTGCTGTGACCGTCGTTGTCCATCACGTATGTGACTGTTTTGCTGTGACCGTCGCTGTCCATCACGTATGTGACTGTTTTGTTGTGACCGTCGTTGTCCATCACGTATGTGACTGTTTTGCTTGCTCCATCATCTTGTTGTAAGGCCGCTATCCATGTGACCGTCGTTGTCCATCACGTATGTGACTGTTTTGCTGTGACCGTCGTTGTCCATCACATATGTGACTGTCTTGTTGTAAGTGTCGTTGTCCATCACGTATGTGACTGTCTTGCTGTGTCGTTGTCCATCACGTATGTGACTGTTTTGCTGTGACGGTCGTTGTCCATCACCATCACGTATGTGACTGTTTTGCTGTGACCGTCGTTGTCCATCACGTATGTGACTGTTTTGCTGTGACCGTCGTTGTCCATCACGTATGTGACTGTTTTGCTGTGACCGTCGTTGTCCATCACGTATGTGACTGTCTTGCTGTGACCGTCGTTGTCCATCACGTATGTGACTGTCTTGTTGTGATCGTCGTGTCCATCACGTATGTCCATCACGTATGTCGTTGTCCATCTGTGTCTTGCTGTGACCGTCGTTGTCCATCACGTATGTGACTGTCTTGCTGTGACCGTCGTTGTCCATCACGTATGTGACTGTCTTGTTGTAAGCGTCGTTGTCCATCACGTATGTGACTGTTTTGTTGTAAGTGTCGTTGTCCATCACGTATGTGACTGTCTTGCTGTGACCGTCGCTGTCCATCACGTATGACTGTCTTGCTGTGATCGTCGTTGTCCATCACGTATGTGACTGTCTTGCTGTGACCGTCGTTGTCCATCACGTATGTGACTGTCTTGCTGCGATCGTCGTTGTCCATCACATATGTGTCTGTCTTGCTGTGACCGTCGTTGTCCATCACGTATGTGTCTGTCTTGCTGTGACCGTCGCTGTCCATCACGTATGACTGTCTTGCTGTGATCGTCGTTGTCCATCACGTATGTGACTGTCTTGCTGTGACCGTCGTTGTCCATCACGTATGTGACTGTCTTGTTGTGAGTGTCGTCGGTCTCGTGGTAGGGGCTGCCAGCCATAGCTATTACAAGGGATAGATCTCCAACAGTCTGCTGTCCACAGTGCTTCATTTGTCTTGGTGTTGATGTAATGCTAACACAACTCTCAAATACAATCAAATTATCAAATCATGGTGTGGCTACAGTTTGTCCCCAGCTATTTGAAACTCCTCCTACACACTTCAAGTCACTCCCCATGTTTCACGGGGCGGTAGGGTAGCTAAGTGGTTAAAGCGTCCGCTCGTCACGCCGAAGACACTGGTTCTATTCCCCAGATGTCTACATTGTGTGAAGCCCATTTCTGGTGTCCTCCGCCGTGATACTGCTAAAAGCGGCCTAAAACTAAAGTCACACACTCCATATTTTCCATATATTGCTTAAAGTTCTATTCTTTTGACGTGATCTGTCTCCTATGATTAAAACAACATACACTAGCGTTACACACATTATGTTAACACACACAAATTACATTTTAATCTTAATTGAATGTTAATCTGAATAGTTTGGCAACAACAGTTGAGTTGTTTTTGGAGAGACCAGCATAGAGTCCCGGCTAAATTATACATATACAAGAAATGATACTTCCACAAAAGGAACCCTCAAGCCAGGTGATTGGGGTGGGTTGGTTGTTGCAAATAGACCTTGAATCGTAATTCTCTTTCCGAATGTTTCATCATGATTCATACTTGGAGTCTTTCCCCATCTGTAGTAACCCTCAAATCTGAAGCAGCCAGACAAACAGACAAGAATTTTATTGGATTCAAGCCCCCGGCCCACATACAGTTTACAGAGTTATACATATGTATTTTTTTACAAGTCAATTGTAACTAATTTTTCAGCAATTCATCTCTTAACTTACTGGAGTGTAATATAAACAATGGCAGATTTCTGATATTCTGTTCATTGCAATACATAATAATGATGTAAAAGCTACATCGCGGAGTTGTGACAGATAATACTCTGGCATACATGTATATTGCTTTCTAATGTCAGCATATGATTTATAGATAAAAGTGAAACGAATTTCGTTTTCAACTGCTTCTTCGCATAATGGACATATTCTTTGATTCATTTCAATGGGCATTTTTCTTCTTTCATTTACCATTAAAATCAAACCTAGTCTTAATTTTATCAACTTTTACCTTAAATCGTTGCATCTAAGGACAGATAAATATTTTTCTGGTTGTAGTAAAGTTTTAAATGTCCTTTAACAATCATAGCGTGTGCTATTATTCAAACTTGATTGCCATTCCTGGTGAAACATATTAATAGCTCGATTGCGAAAATCGTCAATAAAAACATCAATATGACCAAGAGTTTGGTTTAACCAGACATACCCATAACCGTGAGAAAATAATAAATATCTTAAACTTGATGCCCAAGTTACTTTGCCAACGCTATCTAAGTGAACTAACATATTAATGACAGTTTTGGAATGCGATTGTAAAGCATGTTAAGAATTTTAAGCCAGTATTTTAAACATCTTATCTGTGAACAATTTTCGAGGGCTGTGCAGTGGTCTGAGGTGCACAACTGTCTTTAGGTCAGTTTGTTCTGATCACAGATTCGTACACACGGTCCTTCAAGGTTCGTAAACACAGGTACTCTGGTCGTAGGTTTCACCAACCTGCTGAACGTCTAAGACTCGACGAGGTAATCAGCAAAATAGGTTGGTTACAACAAACATTGAGAACAATTATAAAATAAGTGTTGTGAGACACGACTAAACGTTGTCTGTACGTGTAGATTGTTTACAACTTTCGGATACAGTATTATATAAATACATAAGTACGAAAGAATCACAGAAAAGCAAGTATAATTACACGGAATTATGGCATAAGCGAAAGTCTGCGTATATCACGTGGGTTGGTGGGGTAGTCAAGTAGTCGTGCGTTCCAAACCTCACATGCGTACAATGTGTGAAGCCAATGTCTGGTTGTCTCCTGCCGTGATATTGTTAAAAGCGGCGTACAATACTCAATCATCCTTATGTATATAATGTATTACAAAGTTCAAGTTGCCAGAGGTGGCTGTAACTAGATCGTGTGGTGAGACTCATCGACGTTGCCGATGCGTGTCACGCCACTCTGCCAGCGTCTGACGCCGTTCATGACGTCACCCCGTGGTGTGTCTCGGTCATATCGGCAGCCCGTCGGCGTGTACGGCGTCATGTCAAAGACACAAATTATCACAGGTGTCAGGTTGGATGAGATACCGTGCTTCTGTCCAGGTATGCAAAACGGGCGTTGGGATTCAAACCCAGGATTCATAACTGCAGCGCTTGATGCCTCCAGGCCTCGCTGCCATATACCAGTTTCTTTGTTGCCTCCCAAACCACATATTTCTACACATAGGGCTGCATCGGTATCAAATTGTTCCCTTGCACTTCATGATAGAGTAAGTTAAATTTACATACTGGGAGAAAATAACGCCCTAACGGACGCAGTCATGTAAAAGCATACATGTAGCATACGCCGTTGTATCACTCTGAACATCGGGCCTGATAAAACTGTGTTCCTAGTTAATCGTCGGATAACACATCCGAAGTTGTCGGTATCAGGTCAGGTTTCGATATGCAAGCACTTCACTGATAAAACATGTTCACAACTGTTCCTCATTCAAATGTTCGTTGTTCATACTAGCGGAGTTAGCCATCCCTATTTATCGGCAGTTGGTTTGTTTCTGAACTTCGTCACACCCTCCAGCCCTACCATTACCATCCTTACGTCTGACTTAGTACCGTGGAGAGGGTATTCAAAATGTCTTTCCCTGTCTCATCCAGTCTGGCGATCTTGGCTTTAGTTTGATTCAAGTAGGTTCCGGGAATAATGGCCTCATTGGAGAAATCTTCGAGAAGTGAACGCTTTGGTGCACGTTGTTGGAAGGTTTCCATCAAGACAGCATCTGATCTTACATCGATGAGTTCTGTTAATTCCTTTTCAACCGATGTCCCGTCAGTGATATCCTTCCTTTCAAGCCTTTCTTTCCGGTCAAGTTGTTGGTGGGCCTTGGTGAACTCCATTTCAATTCGGGCATATAATTTCCTCTCCCCTTCATCGATGAGGTTTCTAACTTTAATAAAGTCCTTTACTATACTTTTCGCTGAGAACTCGTGCGCTTGCTTCAGTGACATTTGTTCTTCTGTTATAAGACCAAGGCGTTCCTCGGCTTCCCTTATTTTGTCTTGTAAACTTTCAAGTCGTCTTTCACAGCTATATCGTGTGCTATCGGCGGCTTCTGTAAGGGGGGCAACTCTTTCACACCTACGGTGCTTGACTGTCGCGCAAGCATAGCACACGCACAAACCGCAGTCACTGCAGTACGCTTGCACCTGCTGGTCTGGGTGGTTCGAACAGGCGTCTACACTACCGCGTAACTCTTCACACATTGAGGCAATAACGAAATCCGTTTGGAATTTGTCAGCCCACGTCTCCTTGGTCATCGTGTGTGTCCAGCCTTTGGGCTTACACAGGCGACGGCACTGGGGGCACGGCAGACCAAGCTGTGTTGTCACATGTTTTGTCTTGATGTAGTCGGCGAGACATGTCTCACAAAACCTGTGAAGACATGGCAGAAGTTTTGGTGTGTCAAAATAGTCATGACATATCGTGCAAGTGACTTGCTCTCTCAGCTTTGAAAACACGTCCGCCATTTTCGACCGAGTAGATCCAATTTATTAACGTTGCTGACGTGGAGTGATAGAGCACTGTGTACAGCCATACCTGCTATTAAAGTACATTTGTGACGTCATTCCATTGAAATGCACAGGGATTAGGCCCTTATAAAAGTATGTATATGTTTCATGTTACAAGACCTATGACCCTATGACCGCCTCCGTGGTGTAGTGGTTAGAGCGTCCGCCCGGAGAGCGGAAGGTCGCGGGTTCGATCCCCGACCACGTCATACCAAAAGACGTTAAAATATGGTACTTGTTGGTCCCTGACTGGCGCTCGGCATTAATGGGTACAACAAGGACTGGTCGGCTCGGAGTCAGTATAATGTGTCTGAGTGGGGTATCCATGCTTCACTGCGGCATGGTATCTCAGTGGGCTAGCACTACAAGACCAGCTTCAGTCTGGGCTAGTACAAGCAGGCGCACATACACATACACATGCATGCACGTCGTCATATGAGCGAAATATTCTCAATCACGACGTTAAACCCAGTTTCACCTGGCCTCACCAACCCTATGAGTACGCGAGGTCTTCTCTTTTAAGACACAGTGAGGATAAGTACTGAGAAAGATTGGTTCTTATAGTTACAAGAAGTTTCGTTCACTGCCTCACTATATGTTTCCACTGTGGCTTTACCACGTATATATCACCTACATATTTCATTATTTCGCCAGTCTTTCACAAATAAACTCATAAGGTATTGTGACATCACTAACTGGACCACGTTCTTACTGCTGTGAAATCAAGTTGCCCTGGAGTAGGCTGGTAGGTAAAGCGTTCGTTCGTCGCGCCGAAGACCCAGGTTCGATTCCCTACATGGGAACGGAGTGTGAAGCCCATTTCCGTGTCCCCGCCGTGATATTGCTGTAATATTGCTAAAAGCGGCGTAAAAACATACTCACTCACTCTGTGAAATCCAGAGAACGGCACTTCTCTGCATTTTGCCTACGACTTACACAGACAGATAAGCATGATGGTTATGCAAAGGGCACTTGTAAGGGACAAAGACAGTGAATAGTTAACGTCGCTTTTGTACAGTATTTCAGCTCAGTGATGCGATGCGTTGAAGTTTATCATCTTAGTTATACCACAAACACAGAGGTAGAGTTCGGATATAACAGGAAATGCACGATAACAATCACCGGATCCTTGCACTATAAGGGACATAACTCTTGCATTGCCACTTGAGAGCCGTCACATGACCTATACACAGAAAGACTCATGGCTACATTATAAGTTGTTCACTGGTCTCGAGGAGTACATTGGCTGATGGTTTATGTTCTCTGAGCCCGAAGGGCGAGGGGAACATAAAGAAACATCGAGGCTACATCAACCCATGGGCCCCGAGGGACCAGTGAACAACGTATTTATCTTACCGAACACCTAAATGGTAATTTTGAACTGTTTGAAGCACGGGTATCGGATCATAGTATTGAGTACCAGACAAGACAAGAAAAAACAAATTTAGAGTTATCTCCCTTCCATCGATTTGCATTCGCAAAGCATCGGTAATTTCCGTACATCATACGTGATTCAATGTCATTCGAGATAAAGAATTACTACTACAGACTGTACGAAGTACCAAATGAGTTCGGCATTCCCAGCGGAAAACATAGAAAATGTTAGTAATTACTCGTTTGTAAGCAGGGTACATTGGCATATACACATTTTGTTATACATCAATAAATAAATTTCACAAGGTACTACAGTAATACACAATACACAATTCAGAATAATAACATTATTGATGTAACGATGGGTACAGTTTGAATGCTAGAAATATATACTTACTTAAATGTTTGAGGACATGTGGAACTGATAAGATTAACAAATGCTGCAACAGAAGGATGTTCATGGTATGCAGGGTGAATACAGCATGTATATGCTTTTTGTAGATTTGAAAAGGCTTTGCATACAAGTAAGAAATGGAATTCATTTTCAACTACTTTTATTCCGTATCGGCTGCAGCGTGTACATAATCTGCTTTCTTCATCTATTCTGAGTCTTCGTCCAAGGTCAATCCTTAAGTTGCGACATCCGCATCTAAATCTTGATAAAGCTTGAGGGGCGGTGGGGTAGCCTAATGGTTAAAGCGTTGGCTCGTCACGCCGATGACCCGGGTTCGAATCCCCACATGGGCACAATGTGTGAAGCCCATTTCTGGTGTCCCCCGCCGTGATGTTGCTGGAATATTGCTAAAAGCGGCGTAAAACCAAACTCAGTCAGTGATAAAGCTTGACGGTATATTCTTAAGTTGATAAGAATTAGATATTGTTCGACATTCAAAACTGATTTGTAGGTAAAATATGAGGATAGTTTAGAGTTGTCTTTAATGTCTGCTTGTCATTGTTGAATATCTATGTCGACGATACGTTGTTTTATTTCCGATAGAAAGAGTGTTTTATTGTCGAAGTCCTGCATGATCCATGTGTATCCAAATCCATATTGAAATAAAATCCGTTTAACTTTTGAAGCCCATGATGTACGATTTACACTGTCCAATCCATATAACATCATATAGGTCTGCTTTGGAAGTCGGTGATTGTCCATCAAAAGAAGTTTGGTCCAGTATGTGAGCAACTTCATTACATGTGTGACGAAAACAGTATTTCTTCCACAGTCTCCAAGAATGGCAGCATTGCATGCATTTTTAGGTACATATATAATTTTCTTGAAATATTTCAGCTGAACTTTTTCTATGTGCTGAACATGTTGAAAACCCCAGATATCAGCTCCGTATGTCAAGATTGGTAAAGCCATTCTGTCGAATAAGTTTGCAGCTACATTGATCGGCAGTCCACCACACATATAATGTAGTTTTTAAATTACCTGACACAATTTCTCGGCTTGCTGAGCTAAAGCTGTTGTTGCTCGAGTCCATACTGCTTTAGGTGTAAAGATCAGTCCAAGATATTTATAGTATGACACCACCTTAATCTGTGATCCTTTATAAAACCACCTTTCGTAGTTGCGCAGGTATCATCCGTTTCGAAAAACTACAATCTGCGATTTATTTTTGTTTAGAGCGAGACCCCATTTGTCACAGAAGGTACTAAGAACATCAATATGTTTTTGTAGTCTCCCTACTGTATCTGTTGAGTTAGCCACATCATCCGCATATAAGAGAGAACATACATTTGGAGCATCTTCGGAAATATAAATACCTTTACAATCTGATGTCATCATTTCTGTTGTAAGTTCATTGATATATAAAGTAAAAAGTAGCGGGCTTAACAAACACCCCTGTCTTGTTCCTTAAAAACACTGGAAGAATGACACGTGACATGAGTTTGGAATACATGTTTCGCAGGACTGTCAGAATATTGCCATGCAGGGTACATCGAAAATAATAGAAGAGCCCTGAGCCAATTAGAAAATGACATTTATGTGTGAGGCAAGATAATACTCGTTATGACCTATGTATGAGTGAGTGAGTTTAGTTTTACGCCGCTCTTAGCAATATTCCAGCAAATCCAGAAATGGGCTTCACATATTGTACCCATGTAGGGAATCGAACCAGGGTCTTCATCGTGACGAGCGGACGATTTAACCATAACGCTACCCCACCGCCCACTTGAACTATGAAGCTAATGAGCAGTGACAGTAAACCTGTAACAATAATCCAGACTGTACATCATCAGTTCCAGTTTCGTTTGGTAGCAGGTGAACCTGTGGTTGATAGCATGAACACCCCCCGCGGGGTATGGTGACGCTCAATCAACAATGTAACGAATGTACGTCCACTCATAAGACTCGTGTCATATCGTACCTTATAATCCCGATATTGTGTATCCAGAATCCGCTCTTGATAACGAACAAAGTCAGTCTTACTTGCAGTCGGCTTTCAATACCTTCGTAATGCCCATATACACATGGTGAACGAATGTTGGGGTCTCATTGTGATCGGGTCTCAAGAAATAGGCTACATGGCACCGATGTTATCACGATATTCTCACGTGTTGACGAACACAGTTGGAGTCTCATTGTAGTCGTCTCTCAGGAAATAGGTTACATGGCACCGATGTTATCACGATATTCTCACGTGTTAACGAACACAGTTGGAGTCTCATTGTGATCGTGTCTCAAGAAATAGGTTACATGGCACCGATGTTATCACGATATTCTCACGCGTTAACGAACACAGATGGAGTCTCATTGTAGTCGTCTCTCAGGAAATAGGTTACATGGCACCGATGTTATCACGATATTCTCACGCGTTAACGAACACAGATGGAGTCTCATTGTAGTCGTCTCTCAGGAAATAGGTTACATGGCACCGATGTTATCACGATATTCTCACGTGTTAACGAACACAGATGGAGTCTCATTGTAGTCGTCTCTCAGGAAATAGGTTACATGGCACCGATGTTATCACGATATTCTCACGCGTTAACGAACACAGATGGAGTCTCATTGTAGTCGTCTCTCAGGAAATAGGTTACATGGCACCGATGTTATCACGATATTCTCACGCGTTAACGAACACAGATGGAGTCTCATTGTAGTCGTCTCTCAGGAAATAGGTTACATGGCACCGATGTTATGACAATATTCTCACGCGTTAACGAACACAGATGGAGTCTCATTGTAGTTGTCTCCAAGGGAATAGGTTACATGGCACCGATGTTATCACGACATTCTCACGTGTTAACGAACACAGTTGGAGTCTCATTGTAGTTGTCTCCCAGGAAATAGGTTACATGGCACCGATGTTATCACGACAGTCCCACGTGTTAACGAACACAGTTGGAGTCTCATTGTAGTCGTCTCTCAGGAAATAGGTTACATGGCACCATTGTCATCACGATATTCTCACGCGTTAACGAACACAGTTGGAGTCTCATTGTAGTTGTCTCTCAGAAATAGGTTACATGGCACCGATGTTATCACGATATTCTCACGCGTTAACGAACACAGATGGAGTCTCATTGTAGTCGTCTCTCAGGAAATAGGTTACATGGCACCGATGTTATCACGATATTCTCACGCGTTAACGAACACAGTTGGAGT